ATATAATCTATATATTTTAAAATATCTATTCAAATTATATATATAAATATAATTTATATGTTCAAAATTTCAAATATAATATTTATTTATATACATAATTTGTAAATTTTAGTTATCTATAGTAAAAAATTTAATCTAACTAAAATGCCAGTTATCTTTGAAGTCTCTAAAAATAAAAGGAAAAATTACACTGGTCTTCCTTGAATTTTTTTTATTTTTAAAATTGACACTTTCCCTCTAGTTTTTAATTGAATATTAATCGTCTTTATTTATTTATCTAAGTGGTATATATAACTTTTTATATAAGATAATAATATTTGTATATTACTAAGAGAAAATAAATTATTAATGTAAGTATTAATAATTGAATGAGACTTAATCTTTCTTAATTTTAATTTTTAAATTATATTTTAAATATAATGCATATTATAATTTTAAAAAATATACTAACTTTAAAGAATAATTTTAATAAACACATTGAAAAATTATTTTTAAAATTGAAAAACAATGAAAATTTTCATAAAAAGATAACATAATATTGTATGTAATTCAAACACTAAGAATAAACATGTATATGATTGATAAAATATAAATTAACTTTTTTTTTCATTTTAAATAATGACGTTATTTTAAGGGAGACAAGTGATTTTTTAAAAAAATTAGAGAGAAAATGTTTGTTATTTAAATAGACCTTAAGAGAGATGAGTGCAATTTTTTTTCAAAAAAATATTTGTTAAGCTAATTTAATGATGCATTTATTTTCTTCTCAAGAGATTCACCAAATTTTCTGATTTTCGACTTAGATTTACATGAGAGGTTTTCGTTGATTATTTTAATTTTTGGTAGAAGTTTGCCTTTCATTTTAAAAAGTATTGTTTTTTTATACTGAAATGGGTCTTCTCTTTTTGATGACAGATATTTAGTATTCACTAAAACAAAGCTCTTGCACAATTAACTCAAGACATTCATACCTAAGTGATTTTTAAAAATACACGTTATTTAACAAATTATTTTGGAAACACTATTATTGGCCATTATTAAAAAAATTACAAATGTGAGTAAAATTCATTAAATAAGAAATGATACCAAATCTTATACATTTTAATAAACTAATAATACACAAACATGTTTATAATATATAATTAAAATTTATAATAAAATTGTATAATAAATAAATATTATATTTGGATTCAAACTCTCAAACAAGATATCATTAGCAATGTTTCCCCTAAGATTGCAACATTACAAGTTAAAAATACAAAATTCAAAAATGATTTTGCTAAATTTGTGGAGGTACCTTCTAAAATGAACATGTTTTTGAAGCATAGAAGACTCTCATGTGATAAAAGTGGTCTTAGGTTTGAATTTAAATTTGAGACATCTCACTATAGACCAAAGACTACTTTTTGCAAAACTAGTTGAAAATGAGGACAACCTCCAAAATACAAAAAAAAAAAAAGTAAACAAAAAAAAGTCTAAAGTTGTGGGTACTAACAAGAAATGACCTAAGAAAATTTGGATACCAAAGTCTTAGATAATTTTTGTTGCAAATATCTTTAATGGAAAAAAAAAAAATTTATTTTTATTTATTGATAATTTATTTTAAAATAATACTATTTAACTCAAATAATTATAAATAAAAATCAAATTAAATAAGTTTAAAAAATCCCTTCAAATACTCTCATAAAAAAAGTTCTTAAAAACAGTTTCATACAAAATATAAATTCGTATTTAATATATAGAAATTAACTTTAATCAATAATATAAAGAATGTTTTTCAAAAAATGTGAACGGGTACTTATAATAAAATATGTGAAAGACTTATTTAACTCAAGATTTATAGGATAGAGAATAATTATAACTATTAATTAAAAAATTAATAGTAGATATATTAACTTATAGCTAAATTAAATTCTAACTTAGTGCGGATTGTGGAAGCTTCAATGCATCATAATTTAGCTTTAGCTATGCACTATGCTATTTTTCCTCCTATTCATCAATAGAACTGAACTTGGAATTAACCAAGCTATTAAGGAATTTGTATTGTCGCACAAAATGTGATGTTGGGAGAAAAATAACTTTAGGTCAAAACTTACTCAAAACAAAAGTAACAAGTCTTCAGCCGCTAAGAATGTGTCTTTATCTCAATTTCCAAAAGAAATAGATGATCTATAGGTGTCTGAAAGGGGGTTGCACAAGGTTTCTTGATATGGGCAAATCCTCCTCCACTGCTATATCCTGTGAAGTGTATACTTTCTATTGCAATTTATGCCTTCCAAAAGCTCTAATAAAATGTCGTGGGTATAAAAATCATTTTACAAAATGCAGCCAACGAGGCCATCATAAATCATCATTGCCAATAACAGGTACTTTCTCATAGGAAGAAACTTCTCTGAACCTCTTCGGAAGAATGCACCGACCGCCAAATCTCTGCTGAAAGTATACAAGGAGAGCAAATAAAATGCCACAAATAGGGATTATGATGTCCCAGGCTGTGGAATAAAAATCCATTCTATGGTTTGCGTATATATATGATAAATCAAGGTACCATGAAGAACTGTGAGCTCTATAGAGATCATATGCATGGGGCAGTATACGAACAATGGTTGTCCCAACATAAAAGGAAGGTGTAAGAGCTTCCCCTTCCGAGTTAAATATTATGTTAAGCAGAATCTGTGGGAGCAGAAAACCATCCAGGAGCAAACCAGCATAAGATTTAAAATCTTCCCAGAGGGATGGAGGCTGGTAAAAACGTCCATGAGGAAGCTTATACCTGTGGTGTGAAAGCCGGAATGGTCTATATCTTTTTTGGTGAGAAGTTTTCCATATGTGCACCAACCAAGCAGTCAACCCGCCACCAATGTACAATGGTAGAGTCATATAAAGAACCTTTTTCTCAGAATCCCACAGACCAGGATGGCTTCCCTCACCCTGTCTAGAAGACCAGGTCAATTGTACAAGACGCAACTCTAGAAGAAAGGCTACCATTGTCACCATCCTCACAACTACCTCATTCACTTGAAGCCACCCTCCACTCCCAAGAAAAGCATTCTGCACGCTGTGGTTTGTTGTGAATAAAGCTTCAAAGTTCAACACCAGGGTAATCATGTGACCTAGAGTAATAACAAGAAGCATAACGACAGAAATGCAAGGAAGCACATCCGGGAACTTTTTCACATGAAGGAGTTGCAATCCTACAAACACACAAGCCAGTGTGTTTGATACCAATACCATAATTATCTCAAAATCCATTCTCCAAATGGAAGCATCTGCTTGAGTTGTGTAAATGGAATACGAAGACAACTGTAGGGGATCAAAATAATAAGGGTCTGACTTTTGTCGTGTGCTTTCTATAGTTCCTTGAAGAGATTCACCTCCTTTTGCATTCAATGGAGGAAACTGGATATTGACCATGATTTCACAGTCCAGGGACTCATTCTTCATCAGTATTATGTCTGTTGATCTCAAATGCTTGCATCCTATCATACACAGAACTCCAGTTTTCCGGTTGTAAATTCCTTCAGCATTAATTTTGACTTCGGTTGAAGAGACCCCTCTACCAAACTTGAAATCAGGTGGGGGATTAAATCTCATCGTATAGCTGATATTCAGCAAAATGTTGTAGTCATCTAATTGAATACCATGTGGTTTCGGCTTTCCCGTTGTCAACACAGTTGGAACCCCATATGACTGTCCACCATAAACTTGATCACCAACAGATAGAGGCGAAGAGTAACCTTGAGCCACTTGCCCTTTGCTGTCTGTCATTAACATGCGAAATCCCATATCAGAAGAATATCCATCTGGATATGTATCCCCCTTCCCTCTAGCATTCACCTTTTCTGCACAGGACTTTCTCACCATATTAGTTTCATCATACTTGTAATGGAAACCATGGATGCTTCTTGATACCCTTGACAAACCCTCAAATCCAACTTTACTGAAGTAACCAGGTTCACCAACCACTTTGTCGCTCCAAATCTGGCCCAAAACCGTACTCCTGTTCCGCAAAGATAAAATGGCAGGAAACCTTAAACTGAGCCTAATCTTGCAATCTCCAACATAAGGATTGAACCAAGATTCCGTGGAGTTCAAAATTTGGCACGCAACCGCACATAGCTGGTTCTCCTCCTCATTCCACACCCCCTCAGAAACCAACGTCGTATTGGGATAAAATGGAAACACAGCATCCCGGTAGCCAGAATCAGGAAAACCCAACAGCATCTGAACCTTCTGCCTCTCCGCGCATCGGATGCCATGAAAAAGCATAAAAGCAGGCAACCCTCCACCATTAGCACCAAGAGGATTACAACTAGCATTACCGCAGTGATTCCCATATTTCAATTCAAACCTATCCGTGTGTCCAAGAAAAGCAGTGCATGCACCTTGGCTTAAGTTTCTAAGGGACAAACCCTCCACATACGATCCACCTCCACAGCCATTCCCTCTTTCATCCCCAACCACGGTAAACTTGTAATTCGAGCTCTGAGACAAAGCCAATATCGAAATACGTTCAAAGTATTGCAAACTACTCTTATCATCAAAACTTTCTAGTGATCCACTAATCAAACAATCCAAAAGGATCAAAGCTCTAGGGTAACTAAGCTTAAGAACAACATTAGCATTTCGCATGTTAGCATGAGATCCGGTTCCGAGCATACAAAGGTTACCAGAAGATTGCGACCAAAATCCCCTCAGAGAAACGCGCATCCACTGCGAAACCCCCCAATGCGACACTCTCCGCCCCGGATAAACTCGCCGGAGAAACCTTGCCGGCGCCGGCTTCGCTCCTCTCCGTTGCTGAAGAAGCATTTGCCCGCGCAACTCGAACACGCCGTCGCTCGCGCTTCGGCGAACCGAGGTCACGCGGAACGACGCGTGATTCGAGGTGGAGGATCGGTTGAAGAGTCGATCACCGCCGGCGAAGTAGCCGGATTGGAAGCGGAGCTCGTCGGAGACACCGGGGACGGTCCCACCGTCGGAACGAGCCGCCGATGCAGGGACATGGTGGTTGCAGAGGCGAACGTAGGTCGATTCGAAGGTGGAATCTGAAGGTTTGGGAGATGCAGGGGAATAGAAAAGGAAGATGAAAAGGATTAAGATGACAAGAGGATTCGATAACGAAGCTTTCATTATTGATGAATCTGCGTCACATTTGGATGATGAATTCCACTTTTAGGGTTTTAGAATTTTCGAATTGGGATTTACATCGGAAGAATAGAAAGGACATAAACAGAGCACTTCAGATTCAGAAGTTCCTGTTTTTCACACATTATTTTTTTAAGGTTAAAATCATATTTTTGTAACTTATAATTTTTTTTGTTTCAATTTAGTTCTTTATTAATTTTTTGTTTTAATTTGGTCCCAAACTAATTAATTGGTTTCAATTTAGTCCTAAATTAATTAATTAGTTTTAATGTGGGACTTTCCGTCCAAATTGCTTTAACGACGTTAACTTTTGGCCACGTGAACGCTACGTAGATGCATATGTGGCATTCACGTGGATGAGAATTTTTTTGAAAACACCTAGACCCAGAACGGCCCGTTCTGAAACCGGAACGGGCCGTTCTGGTTGCAAAATTAAAACACCATCAGTGAAACAGAACGGGCCGTTCTGAAATCAGAACGTCCCGTTCTGGATTCAGAACGGTCCGTTCCAGAACTGTGAATAAAATATTCTTTACTTAATTGTGTTTTTGATATTATAATTATGCAATTTTGATCTCTAAGGTTTTAATTGAGTAATTTCAATCCTTAAAAGATTATAATTGTGTAATTTTAATCTCACAATTTTTAATTGAACAATTTTAATCTCTCAAATATTATAATTGTGGAATTTTAGTATTTCTCATTAAAAATTTAATAATTTTAAAATTTTAATATATATATATATATATAATGTTTTAAAACTATATAATTGTTTGTTTATTTAAATTAACGTATATTTTTTTTT